AATTATATTAACCATTAAATAATAATAAATAAACAACACAATTATCATCCATGATAGTTCAAGGATTCAGTTAAAAAATTCAGTTAAAAAATTCACTGAGTTAATCAGAATCTCAACCCATTACCACAGTAACCTACTTAACAAACAATACCTGCTATAGAGCGACTTCCCGTTTTTTTAAGAAAAGTTTTTAATTGAATTGTTTGAACATAAATTAAAAATACAAAAAGTGTTAAAACCCCTCTTTGTTTTTCAAAAATGCACCGTAGTTCTATTTGATCGTGTTTAGCAATATTTTTTGAATGCTAAGTAAAAATTAATTTATCTTTCGTGCAATGTATGTTTTGTTAATAATCGCTAATTTGTTAAGATGCATAGTAGTTATTAATATTATAATTACGTATGCTCATTAAATAACGGCTGTCTGTTGTTAATTATTCATTTTTATATATAGATAGATACTGTATATGTACCACTTACCCACCTACAGTAGGTACACTCCAAAAACAAGCATAAACGAATTTGATAAACCTAATTAACAGTAAATTACAATATTATGCAAATCACTCTACTAGCATTAGAAAGTCTTCAAATGTCTGCATAAAATTTTAATTTATTTTGACATAAAGCGTTGTCTGTTCTACTTCTGTATAATATGTGTGAGCATGAAATGTAATGTTTGATTACTTGCTCTGTTTTGAAATCACCTGTACTTTCTAAAAAAATCCAAAGAAAAAAAGCCTTCACTAATAATTTTGTTTATTTTTTAACTTGGCACATGGTTGTTGTTTAGTAGTTATCTACATACAATTTCGTGTTAACGTTTTTAATGACTTATGTACATTTTTTATGTTTGCTTTTTATTAAATACTAATATGTACTATTTTTTTACAATTTTTTTACCTCAGAAGATTTTTCAGTAATTTCCTAGAAAATTGCAAAAGTAAATATAAAATAATTAATTGAATATGATATATTTTGAGACTATTATCGAATAATAATAAATCATGGTGACGAATATAAAAAACTCCATTTTAAGAAGTGTTGCATCTTCAGAAATGAATGTACCTTGAATTATTATATAATATATTATGCCGAGGGTTTTGGACAAGTTGATAGAATTTGACCAAGTTTCGTCAGAAATTCGAAACGCAAACAGATTACGGTAAGCACCTTCCGTCATTACCATCGTGTCTCAGCAGTGTGCCGGACGTCGAACACTTGCCACTGATTTCACGGTATACTAAAGATAGTAATTGCGTGTTGTACCTGACCATTTGGTCAATAACGTCTTTTAACAATGACCGACAACCAGCGGCAGTCGGACAGAGATTGTGAACTGGGAGTACTGGAGGCCAAGATACCGATGCTGCCTGAAAAACTTTGTACATTTGAAAAACTTTACTCAGAAGTAATTGAGGAGGATTATAAATGTTTGCAGGAACACCCCCCGCCGGTTATAGTTCTTTTTGAAGAGGAGACACAATTACAGCCATGCGCATCTTCTGCAATAGAGATACCGATGACTATATAGTCAAAAATGCGGTGATTGAACAGATTTATACAGTAGACCATATCCAATTGTTAGATGCACTGGCCGATCTTAACATAGTTCCAGATGAGGCAGTTGAAAGCACGACTATAGTTGCGACAAAATATGACGGCGATGGGTTGGAACCTGCTGCGGCAGCTACGGTAAAGTAGCAGCAGAACAACCACGGCAAGGCCGTTGCAGGTCGTTCATTTCAGCACTGAAGAGGCGATTCCTCAAGGTCGGTAGAATGTTGTGCTGTTACTGTTCTCCCAATAGTAATCAGAGTGCTACACTGGTACTACAATGTGGCTAGATTGCCGTTAGACACCTAGGAGATGCTGACTGTTGACGTATTAATCAAGGATGTTTTTATTCACCGTCTAAAAGCCCTTCGCTTACGTCACTGAAGGCATCGGTTCAGTCATGAAGTTCGACCCCGTCAGCTCCCTCAATCGTCAATCTTGTATGACCCTCGTAGCCGCCGGAAGTCGCAGCCAGTCAACCAGTTTTTAGCGCACCCTTATCACGGCTTTGTGTTTACGTTTCCGCTACTCATACGTGGTTAGAAGATGTTTGAACGCAAGTGTATCGCCGTCGACACATTTGGAGTTGATAACTTTGCTTTTGCAACGAGATAATATACTACCGCTTGTGACGGCGACATGTGTGTAGTTATGCTACGCCGTCCGAGTTGTGAGTCTAGCGCTAAACATTCGAATTCGCGGACCCATCGACTTCACGCCGTTTGCTTTTGGTTTTGTTCCGACATCCGTCGTTTTCTGTGGGCAACCTTTTCGTCGGCCCTCGCGATTTTCGTTTAGTTTTCCGGCCAACTGTTTCTACTAGTACCTATAAAAAATATGATGTATCAAGTTATTGTGTTTCATTGCGTAAAAATGTGTTTCATATTATGATTTTTAAGAAATACAAAATTAGTTATTTACAGAACACTTGTTAATTTAATCGACTGGTGTATGTATTATATAAAAAAAAAATTAAAATTCGATGATTCTAAACACCTAAAATATTTAATTCATATGCAGATCGGTTACTAAATGAAAATCAAACACACAAACGTAGTGGTCACTTGAATGGATTTCGAGAAACTGATTTATCTTTGTGTTCTTAATCACATATAGCATACACAGTTTATTATTTAGAGGGAAATCAACGACATCTGGAACTCTTAATAACCTTGATTAAAGTATTTACACAGAATAAGCAGAGGAGACGCTCGCTGAAACTTAAAAGTGTTCAATTTTTTGACTAACCGATCATCTATATATAAATAACGAAAATGTAAGATTTTTGTTATCTGGTCACACTGATAATATTAATATTTACCAAAGACTTTATACTACTGTATAAGAACTGTGTATAGCAACAGCATTACGAGTGGCATGGAAACATGTCACAGTGATGAAACCTGTCTCGACAACAAAATACAATTATCTTTATTTCTTTAAATCTTATCCTACTATCCCGCACTACCATGCATATGAGAAAACGAATAAAGAACGAGCGCCTTCTATGTAGGTATGGTCACGTTTTGTATACATTAATTGCTTGTCTAGCTGTAGAATAAGGTCTTTGATATTTGCATACATTTTTTTACACATACATGTGTTTATCACCTTATGAAATATGAATGTTCACAAAACAAATAATGGAGTCTGTTAGGAAATACAATCTCTGCCAGAAAAATATAATGATGGAAATTATCTTTCTACCAGCAGCGTGGCTGGGCTAACAGGTTTTGAAAATCCCTAACCCCCCTAAGAACCCGTATGAAACTCAAAAGGCGTATGTTCTGAATTCCATTTATTTTTTAGTATTTACAGGTATACATTGAGTTATTACCATCTGATTTAAGTAGTACAGTAAAGTAATTTCATCGATTCAATGTCAATATTTTTTTTTATTCATTTTATTTTCTCATAGTTTGTTTTGTTCAATGTCCAATATCCATTGTATATTACGTTCGTTTTATTAAAACTTAACCACCTACCCGCAGCTCTGTAGTATACGTAAATTATAGAATTATTTTTCGACCCGTTTTATCAAAAAATATTTCAAAATATTCAATATCTACCTATTTATACAGATTAATAATGTTTCCTCTTTCCACGGCATTCAGTGCTTGGTTTTAATTGATTCATTCAATCATCTATCGTTATGACCCTTTTACACCTAACCTGTAACGTATTTTAATGTGTAGTCAGAATCACTAATTAGTAATAAATTATTTGTTTTTAAATTATAGTTCCTATTTAAAATGACTAGGTGACTAGCATTTATTTTGTTAGTTATAGAAGGTTATTCTGATATGTAAATTTAATTATTAATTATTATTTTATCGTCTTGTACCAAAGCTTAAATAATTTCGCTATACTTTTTAGTATGTATATATTAGATGAAATAAAATAATCAATTAATTCATCACGTTGACCTGTAAGTATACATACGATTACCGTTCGTTGGTATGATTATCAATTTGAATTTATTATTTCCTATATTTTACGAATAATTACCAACTATTTGCTCATAATATCAATTATTATGATTTATAGCTTTATTTTAAAAAGCGTTATTCTCGATATCCTTTCTCCGGGTACTTGGATATCATCAAAAACAACATAGAATATCTATTAGTAAATCATTTTAAAACCAAATCAAACCTATTCAAATCCATAGTTTTGTTTTCAACGACTAATGGATAATTTATTAGACATTTTTTGATTTGCTCGTAAAGAATAATGAGAGGAAAATATAATGTTGTTGAGTTAGGTTTGTTGTTTTTTAAACCAATTTTAAGTTATATCCTAATAGTATTATTGTATAGTAAATAATTGTATACTGGCAGCTTTAGAAAAAAAAAATTATTGTATAGTAATAGTTTATTTTTAAACATCTTATACTCTTCTGTAAGATGTGATGTGATATCTGAATTAAATATATCCATGGAAATATAGTATGATACTTTTTTGTTACACCATTTGACTGGTATTACTCAAATTAAAAGTGTGAAACACTACAGCTAAAACATCTAATTACTGTATTTCCACTACAATATTTTATATTTTAATATTATTCCTCTCCCCCCACCGCTGAGCAAAAATGAATCATATTATGCATTTAATTCTCAAAATCTAAAATTCAGCTCATATTTTATTTAAAACATTTTTTAATAATTAAAAATTGATTGTCAGTATCTAATATAAAAGTATAAAGATTTGAAATGTTAAATATTTTTTAAAAACTCGACTCCATTTTCACTGTAATGTTGACATAATCTCTACATCCTGTGTTAGTGTGTTGTTTGTCAAATTACACAAATTTGCGATTCAATTTTTACTATAAAGTATGTATAATAGTATATTAACAGGTGGTATTCCTGGGGTCTATATAGTTTCAGGGGGTTCAATCAACTAGTGGTAGTGTAGGCGACCGGGGTTGATGTCTTGGCTTTTGTGATGGAGGGTGATGACTGGGTGTGGTAGGGTGGTTTGTAATATTATTCCCGGGCTCTGTTCTTTACATCGATTGCCGTATTTGTCCTACTTACGGTATTATTTCAACTCGCGCATGTCCAGGGTTGAAATATCGATTGACTTGCAGATACTAGCGCATATTATCCCTGAGCCATGTACAGACTTTCGGTAGCTTGGCGACGGAGAAGTTGGTGTATGATACGCTGCTTCTCGTAATCTCAAGAATCCAAAGTGAGAAGAACATTTTGAATTACAAGAAAAACAGCGATTTACAAAAAAATATTAGTATCAAAATCAATTACAACAAAGTGAGTTCATACTAAAAAAGATATCTAGGTTTATAATTTATAAAATTAGCATTACTGTTTTGTTGCAGCCGGGTCGCATAAGTCATACATCAACCATTCATCTCTGCTATATGTACGCATATATAATATAACACAGGTTTGATATAAATTGTTTTCTAATATTGGTTTTCGTTGTAAGTAACTCAATGATGTGTCTTATTTTCCATGATCCAAATTCTAACCGACATAGTCGATAATATCTTCAATTCGATCAGGATCAACAATGGATAGACAACGCTGCAACATCGTGACAGTTACAACGCTTATGATCGCTGCACTTCTCTACGCAATAGACGTTTTTAAAGGTTATTTGTTAGTGGAACGTGTGAAAAAAAATGTAATTGTTCCTGAAATAGTTTTCAAAAGTTATGCTGTCAACCATGGTGCACCGATAAGTAAGGACTGATTAAAACATTAATAGACCAATAAAAATTATTTGCTTGTTTGATAATGCAGTATACGAAATGTATAAAATATTTTTATAGCTATGTATAAAATATTTTATAGCTATTTAAAAAACACACTTAAGCTCATATAAATGTATTTACTAATTTTTTTAATATTTAGGAATATTATATTAAATCTAATGATTTAAATACTTACATTATCCTATTTTATTCAAGCATTCTAAGAAGATTTACATACTTCAATTATTTCTGTTTTGGTTATTCCTCCATTATAGTTATGGTTTATTTTTTGACCATCAATAACAATTTTTGAAATAAGGTTAATTAATAACTAGTAAGATATTACTGGTATAGCAGAATTGAGTTCAGTTTAAAAATTGCTCGGTAAATTAAAGGAATAGAATTTTTAAATATAATATTATACCTACTATATGAATAATATTAATACTATAGTTTTTAAGTCCATACCTTGTTTGGATTATTAATGAATCTCATATGTAACATAAAAATAAAAAGTTTAAACCAAATAAGACATATTTTTACATTCAAATAATAACCAATTTATTAGTTTCCAAACAAATTAAAATTAAATTCTTGAATTGCGTTATATTGTATGTCACTTTTCAATATTATTTTAAATTTTAGATTGTAGCAAGTATTATTCCTACATGGCCATATACGTAGTGACCACCCTCATTATTTCTTAAATGTTCAACTGTTTTTACATAATTTGTGGTAATTAATATTAAAAAAATGTTTGGAAAAAACATCTAATTTTTAGAAATTTTTATTTTTGTTATTTTTTTGTGTTTTTTTGAATGGTGACATAGCCACATAGGTATATTTAAATTTTACATTCCAAAGCATAATACTTTTTGAATTACCTATTTTGATACATTGTAATCGAATTTCCAATATATAGTTAATTAGCTATAAGTTTATAACATTACAAATATCTATATTCTATAATATATATTTAATATGTATTTATTTTATATACATACATATTATTGCAGTCTGTAGCTTAAAATATCGGCATAGTATCCTGGCAACGGAATTAGTGGTTCTACCCCTTTTCTTGGCTTTATTATGGAGGCTATTAAATTTGTATTATTAAAGACAATTCGTCGTTGTAATTTTCGAAAATCTATTTCAAAATTGTGTTTTTTGTATTATTTCAGTAATATTATTACAATAGTTTTTTGGCTTAATCTAAGTACGTACACATGTTGTTGCAATGTTGCACTCAAGCGACTTACTGAAATATTAGCTGTACTACCTTACGTAAAGTAGTAGTTTGCGCTTTAATTCATCGATATAGATAATATCATAATAATTATAGCGATAAGCATTCGACTTTTCTACCAATTATGAACAACAGTATTTAAAATAGACATCGATGAATTCAAGGCCACTTAGATACTATAGGTGTAATGTACCCATTTTAGAAACCAACAAATATGGGGTGTAATTTATTTACCACACCTACTATTTTCACTACCTGTTCAATGTGTACAAAATTTACCTTTTACCACCACCCACACACATTTTTATGACTATTTCATGACAACTACATATTGACTGAGACAGATAGAAATATCAGTTGGTAATGTCATAGAAGAGAATATTAGGACAACGGAGTTCAAAGTATAGTGGGTAGTTTTTTAAATGTATAAGAGATTTTGTTTTGAATTAAAAATATTTTAATACAACACTGGCCTATATTGGTCGTTTTCTTAAATGTTAAACTAGATATTATAATATAATATGTAATTGTATTAATGCATTTTATGTTCCATGATAATGCAACAATTGCCTATTAACCCCTTGTTATGTCAATTAATCGTATACGCCAAATACATAAAGTCACTGTTGTGCTCAGTCTCTCAATTGTATTTTAATTTCTTTACATCATAGACATAATAATTTTGTTGCTTTTATTATCACTAAAAATATGATAAGACAGGTGGTCATTATTTTGTATTGTTTTCCCCATGATAACATCAACGACTAACTCTGTCTTTTTCGCTCAATATCCACACAATAATATGATTTAGATCACTATGCGAGGTTCTTATAGTGCGGTCGACGAAAAGTAGGCCGCGATCGTCACGCACCTAACGGCCGTTTTTCGTAAATCCAGGGATTCTACGTTTGGGAGTACTATTATTATTATTATTATTATTATTATTATTTTACTATAAACGTTAGTACATTACACGATTTGAAATTATATAAGGCGGGAAAACGTTTGGAGACCCATGCCGTAAAACGGCCGGTAGGCGCGTGACGATCGCGGCCTACTTTTCGTCGACCGCACTATAGTTATTTATTATTATGTTTATCGATTTGTAACAGTAGGAACCTACCCATTGAAATTAAAGAAACGATCGTCACCCCTCCAGTGCTTATTTTTACGTTATCATAAAGTATAATCCTAAATGTAAAATGTCACGACTAAGTTTATGATAACCATGATGGTTTTTATACAACTTTTTTTTACTGATGGATATGTACACAGTGTTATCTAAGTCAAAAAGAGCAAATTACGATAAATTATATTTTACGTTATAAGGCTAATAATAATAATTTAATACATTTAGAGATTTTATTTTCACTTTTACCGATTATATACTTGCCTCAAGATTATTAAGAACTTCAAAGACTATTGAAAACCCATTAAATGGACATTTTAAATACACGATAATGCACAGCAAATACCTCATTATTTTTATTTTTAAGTTTATTAATGTTTTGCCATGATTAGTTACTTAAACATATTTAGATAGAAAATGTATTTGTATTTATGTGATATTTTTCAGATATCAAAATAGCTGGTCGTAATTCTTTCACAGATTTTTCCATTAAAATTATAAAATTGGAAAATTTGTTTAAGCAGATTCATGTAGAGTCCATTAATTTGTTCGAGGACGTGAAATCGGTGAAAATTGTTCCATACTGTATCTCTGCGGAGGCTTTTACAAATGATGAAATATGTTTTAAAAATACAGAGATTTATAATTTGGACAATTTGAAACTAGAAAGCATCGAATTGGGCAGAAGTACGATTCATAACAAAAAAACAAATCGTTTCTTATATGTTTCCCATAAATTCGACGAATTAGTGATTAGCGGAACCACTGATTTTATGGATGTTAGTAACCTTGATAAGTACAACACAAGCATCTTTAACAATAACTTGATCGTTTACTGTGATTATAATAATCAAGGAATTTTTAGCTTAGAAATTCCCTTCCTAGAGGGATATTCTGAGTCCAATACCGATAAGTATGTAGCACATGCAGTAGATATGCACTTGAAGCGTGCACATGACATGACTTTTCATCTACCAGTACGTGGATTTAATGGATTATTGAATTTAATCGAAAATGAAATGAGCACTCCATCGATTTTTTTTCCAGAGAATATAACTTTTAGTTGTGTGTTTTCAGAAATGTTTGGAACTAAAACTGATACTATATCTATCGATACCAAGAACATACGTTTAAATAAACAGCTCAACAATGATGTATTTAACAAAGTGAAGTTTATTAAAACGGGCAACTCTTATCAGGCGCAATTTGCTATCACTTTTAACAAACTAGCTTTTACTGCTAAAATGTCCGCAAAAATAAATCAGAATTTAGTATTGAATGAAGATGTGCTAATCGAAATAAAAAAGTTACATGTAGAGGTTCACTACTTCCCAATTCAGTGTCCACTATACAAAGTAAAGGTTACCATTCTAAACGGAGTGAGTTTATCCACAGCGAAAAAAATCGATACTTATTTCTATTCCCCACATTTTAACGGGAAATTATCCAATTGCATCAAGGCTACAACTGTACACAACGTGGATACAACTCTTCTTATGTTAAAATTCCCGAAGTTAAAAGCATTTCTAGAAGCAAATATTAATGCTTCGTTGATGTAATTTACACCCCAAATTATTTAATGGGTACATATACCAACATCTGTAGTATTCAAGCCATGTTAATGGTATAGACTATAGGTAGTCATAACAGTAGGTTTGTGTTCAAAAAAATTATGTTTGGGTACACGTTTAGTATGCTAGTACTAAAACTCTGATAATTGTCTATAGTCAACCATAAAATAATATACTTTTTTCAGTAAATACTAAACTATCAAGTACTTTTTATACCTATTTATACGTCAAATCAATTAATTAATTGTAATATTACCATTCTCATGACGCTCAAAACTTATTAATAATATTTGGATGGACTAATAATTATTCACAGTACAAAATTTTGAGTTACCTGCATTTAAGAAATACACTATTTCTCCACGTGGTTCGTCGGAATTTACGGTTAAAGGTCAATTTTTATTTATTAACAATGCTCAACTCGTTTTAACTTTCGGTGGCATTGGTCTGTTATATTTTTTTCCTTATCGTTACCAGTAATATTAAACTAAATAGACTTGTAAGAATATACAAGATGTAAGTGTCAGACCAAATCATTTAAATTTTTTAGCATACTAAATGAGAATATTACGTACCCTTAATTCGTAGCTTTCCATTACCACATACAAATTTCACGATACCGCACAAAATGCATAAAGTCTCGTATCCAATTACCATACATCTACCTACCTCAAGGTAATTGAATACTCATATATAAATTAACTAGTAAAAAGATTTCTTTCGTTCAAACTGTATTATTGAATGTCTGTTTCTATATTGTCGTTTGGTTGTTTACATTTGATCGTTCCACCAAATTCTGTGTATACTGCTAAACAATATCACAAGAAATATTGTATAAAAAATTATATTATCGAACTCACCAAAACGAACAAAGAATCGTTTCTGTGATTATTAACAAATTACAGATTTTATCTTTAATTTTAGAAAATAAACATAAAATGAGTAAGGTATGCGTTTTGCAATTGATAATAAGTAATATATGGACACTGATTGCCGGCTATAACGATGATTTAATGACACCTGAAAATTCTAAAAACAATGTATTTAGACTTCCCTCAGTAATATCAAAATGTGTGTGTGTGCATGTTGTATCGTGTGTTTTTGGATCATTTGCTAGTGGTAATGGAAAATGCCACTGAATTTGGTATTAAAACTGTAGTCAATTTATTAGCTAAATGTTGTGTGAGAAAGTAAAATAAAATTGTTTAACAAGTAATATTATACTCCTCTATTCAACCTTATACAAGTACGTTGTTACTTGTTGAAGTCAACATAATATGTAGGTACCTATACATTGTTATTTTAATATTAAAATACTGGCATTAGTTAATATTATATTTATTAAGTTTATTTATTTTTCATTAAGAAATTAAAACAACATTTATTTAATGTATAAGTTTGTATCATTTACAATTTTTTAACACATGTGGTGCCGAACATCATTAAAATGAGAGCAATACGCAATACGCATCATTCATACAAAGTTGAGTCTTTTGATGGGTGTGTATTGCTGTGGACTGGCGTCCCGCGATTGACCTTGGTAGAGGTAATTACGGGGTAACTATGGCGTAGTCGCCAGACCGCTACAGTGCTAAAGGTATTTTTTATCTTGCGATTGGTTATTTTAAACATATTCTGTAGGTACTTAGTATTCATTTAAATACTTCCGGAATAACATATCATCATCTTTGTTTTTGGACTGAGAAAAAAAGATTTGCTCTTATTATTAACTATGTTCCTAGAATTTCTCAGTTATTGAGTTATAACACCACTATATATTCTTATAACTTAACCTAATTCACTAATAATACTTATTTATAATTAATTAAAAAAGGCATACATACCAATATATTATTAAATGATTTAAAAACACATTATACACTTTAAATGATATCTTAAGAAGACAATAGGGATATAAAGTTTAATTTTCTAGATATCTAATTAACTAACATTGAATATAATTTCATGTTTTAAATGGTAAATATGAAGATTGCAAGTTAAAACTATATACTTCAAACTCCAATTTTTATTTGTTTCAAAATTAAACTTGGAAATTCAGGGTCTCGAGGGTGGCGAATGACGCTTCCCTCTAGAACCATCACAGAGTTGATGACGAGAATTGAATTCGTCCTCTTCCTCACCAAACTTCAATTTAGTTCGGCACCACTAGCAAAATATTATAAACTATGTCTATGGAAAAGCTTTGAAATATCTTCTTTTATTTGTATTAACAGAATTTCCAAACACATTCAAAAACAACTTGTACAAAATATTTTTCTATAATATACTATACTTATTAATAATCTGTAATATGTTTGACATTTGAACTAAGAATTTTTATTGTATCAATTTTTAAAAGATTTTATCATATTATATAAATAACCAATAAATTACCTCAACTGTTCAAAAAAACGATATTATTGTTGAACATTGTTACAAATTATATTAACATTTCCTGATTTGGAGTATTTTAATTACAAGTTATAACAAACATACAATTTGTAATGTATTATTTTATCAATGACTAATACCTATATTCACTACCTATATAAATAATGATTAATAATTTTTAAGGAAAGGCTGATGAACACTGATACACTTCAGTGTACACGAAACTAATGATAATGATATTATGATATAATGTGTCATCTGATGGAATTGGCATTATTCTTTATTTATTTATATTTTGGAGCATATAATAAATTATTCGAGTGTACCTTGGTATTGAGTGTTTTGAGCTTCCGGATGTACGACGTGGCTTGATAAATCAGAAATCAATCGTACGGGCGCCTATATAATTGTCAAACGTTTGTACTATAATACTCCATTCGCAAATAGGTGAGTAAAGTAACCGTCATATTTAATTCGCCGAAACGGGAAGTTTTTGTGAAAAGAGAAATTTCATTAAGTGTAAATTACAATATTTTTCTATAATGAATATTATAACGATGGTATTAATATGATTACATTTTTAAACACCTGGGCATTGCTCATTGCATTAACTATGTACAATGTCCATACTATTATAATTTTGTTATTGGCATATTATAATTGTATGTATATACTTAAAGGTACCATAGTTTATTAGGATATGATATGCTTATTCGTCTGACTTAAAATATAAATCTTATAAAGTAATAACTTATTCGTTAATATTTAATTAATAATTAATTATTAGCTGATCCTGTGCACTTCGTTGTCCTTCAAATATACTTATTTTATACGGTTCAAAGTTTGTGTTTTATTCGTCATTTTATAGGCATAGTTTCTTTTTTGTTCAAAACTTCCCTTGAGAAATTCCTGTGAATTTGCCCCATTTTAATCTCCATTAAAAATTTTGGCACAGGTCCAATATGTGCGACCTACAACTGATAATTGACCTGTCCTTATCTTTGCCGGGCTAATGTGCGACCTACGTCCAATGTGTGTTTTTTCCTATATAACATGGGGAAATATATTTATTTTTGTGAAGAGAATAGAGATACAAACGTGATAATTGTAAACCGTTCGGCATTCAGTAACGGTCTCACTGTCTTTGTCGAATTACGTTATTGTGAGTTTTAGTAATTTTAAATACAGCGTTATAGTGATTTTAGTAAATTTGTGTTTTTTATTATGAGTGCTACATTAGGATACCTATATCGACATATTATACACGATGAAAAAATGTGTGTACAATTCTTGCAAGACCGAGAATTATTACCATCTCTAAATGAAAATAATAATCGTTGTACCAAAGTGAGAAACAACGAAGAGTGTGGTGGAATATTAAAGGAATGTGAGAGAACGAGTAAAAAACGAAACTCAGATGGTACCTTTAAAAAATACATTTCTTTTAAGTGTTCAAAAAGAGGTTGCCAAACTTATTGTTCAATTCGAAAACAAAATCAATTTTTTTCTTACTTAGATTTAAATAATAGATGTCACAGTAATTTATCATTAACCGAGATCATGGAATTAGTATGGCATTGGACACATTTGGTACCAGTTCATCAAGTTGTACAATTTACTGGTCGAAGTAAGAATACAGTTGTCGATTGGTTTAATTTATGTCGCGATGTGGCTATTTATAAATTTGACAAGCGATCAAAATTAGGTGGAAAAGATGTGATAGTTCAAATCGATGAATCATTATTCAAAGGAAAACGCAAATACAACCGTGGTCGTCTTCAATGTGGTGATATTAGACCAAATGAGGTAAATGAAAATGATAGTGACGATAGTGATGATACAGAAGAAGATAACAATAGTAATAACACAGTGGGTGCAAAAAATTATGGAACGCGTGTATCTGGACCGTGGGTTTTTGGACTTTGTTGCAAAAAAAATGATATTTTGGAACGACGTTTATTCATCGTAGAAAAACGTGACAAAGCAACATTACTTCCTATAATTAAAAATGAAGTAGAACTAGGAAGTATAATCCATAGTGATGAATGGAGAGCTTATTCGTCATTAAACAATGAAGGGTACATACACAGTACTGTGAATCATCAAAAATGGTTTATTGATCCTGATACAAATGCCAATACTCAAACCATAGAATGTGTGTGGAAAATAGTGAAAAAGCGATATGAAATAAGAGTAAACGGCGCATCACCATTATTACCGAGACAACTTAAAGAGGAGTGGTGGAGATCTCTTCACCCAAACAAGCAAACTATATTTGACGAATTTTTATCAGACATGAAAGATGCTTTTATGACATAAATTATATATAAAATTACGATGAATTCTTATCAGACAAGAAAGATAATAATTATAAATGAATTAATAACTATAATAACTATTAATATGGATAAATTTAAAGGATAAAATAACTAATTAATTAATAACTATAATAACTATTACAAATGCAGTATAGGTCAATACGTATATGTAGGTCGCACACTTTAACACAGTCAACTTCTATTGGTAACGATAACCGAAATAAAATTGTCAAATATTACTTCTACGTGACTAACCGACCTTGTGGTTCTCAGTGATTTTTTAACTACCAATCAAATGCACTATTACAATTTATAAACAGAAAAATAAATGTGAAATCAGATCAAATCTACTGTATATTATTTTACTGGACAGAATGCACCACTGGTGTGTATTTAAATTTTATTTTCTTGGACAGATGGCGTCGTCGCTGTTGAATTCCGTTAACAACTATCCCTTTTTTCCTTTTAAGGCTTAAAGTTCGTAAAACTCGTTCTTATCGACATCAAATAAGTTTATAGTACCTACCTACAAAATTTCAGCTTCATAGGTCAAGTAGATTTAACGATTTCGTGTTTAATTAAATTAAAACTTTCCCCTTTAATAACCTAAGTTTATTTAACTATTTAAGAAGAAGGTTTTTTTTAAGAGAGATTTTGTGATTTTTAATTATTAATATTATTACTAATTTCTTTTATTAATTTGTTACCTAATTTTAAACAAGTACCCATTTATTGACATGATGTAATTATTCATTTACAAATTGACCAAAATGCTGTTTAAAGCGAAGTACAAATAATAATTATTTGTTCTTTTTAGTACCTATTTTTATTATAAAACGCAGTTTATTACCCTTTACCATATTTCATAAATCACAGTAGGAGGAATGCCTAGGTTGAGTTTATCACAACAATATTCAACAGTAGGTACTATTTCTATAGTGAAAATCATAAACATTTGATTTAAATTATTTGGTATAATAGTAATACATAATGGTGATATATTGTAATCATCATGAGTTTCCTCACCACCTTAGCACACAAAAAGTGACAATTAAGCCGGTACTACCCTATGTTTGTGTCATATTCAATGTTACACGAGGTATTGCATAATATCGCGTTATTTTTATTATGGTGTCCCCGAATGACAAAAGAGTACAGAATGAGAAAATGGATGGTCAAATTATGTGGTAAAAAATAATTTGGGAAGATGTGTTGATATTTATCATACTTAAACTTTTAGGCTAACCTAAGAACGTTAATTGTATAATGTAGGCGTATCACTTAGATGACGGAATTCACCAATTTTCCCAGACAACAGTGTTGAATTCAAGACTTATATTATTAATTATAATTATCGAGAGCCAGAAAATGTTCAGTGTCGGACTTGAGTACAAAAATTAAATTTAAAACGAAATTAATTTATTCAATACAAACACATTTATTTATATATATACCTATACATCAATTGTTTCATCTACATGATATGACATTATATGGATGTAGATCTGTCTACTGAATTCAATAATGTGTTTATTAATTAACTAAATCAAATCTGAAAGGTTTGCTGATAAATGTAACTTAGGACTTAGGTAAGTACAGTTTGAATTATTCTTAAAATTACATTAATTTAACCTATATGAACACTTAAAGTGGTTTGCCACCACATCGCCGTCATAACAAATTAACGCGAGACAATACTGAATGGAATATTATTTTTACTTATAATGAGATAGTAAGTTGATAATCTTAAATCTATAAGAACAACGACTGATAGCGACTAATAAATTCAAACAATAATTTTACGATCCATCGCCGTTCAGTGATTGCGATCGACTGTTGTCGTAGATGGACTTGAGTAGGTATTTTTATTAAAATATTATAATTGTTAGTCTTTGATTACGATGATGGCAACCCACAATTTGTTTTCTCTTTCTGGCTCATGCAGAATAACAAATTTGATAGCTAGTACCAACAAATAACTATGAGAAATAGGTACCTATTAACTAATAATATTAACCATATGAAATACCTATGATTGTTTGTATATCAAAATATTGAGAAAACCTTATGAGGTGATCTAGATAGTAATAAAAAGTCATACCTTTAAGTTTGAATTTCAATTCACTCTAATATCGAATCTGAAATGAAAACAATAATAGATCTATTAAACTTAAATTGTCTAGGTTCCAGAACAAATAGGTAGTTTACCGTGTTTTATAGCCAGCATCAGTTTCTTATGTATTTGTTCTACTCCCTGGCCAACACAATATTTTAAAGTCACCGTCTACTTGTTAAATACATAATATTATGTTACAATTACCGTTATTATTTGTATGGAAAAACTTTGTTTATTTCAAATTATTATATTCTTCTTCTGGCTTTATCTATCTTACAAGAGTTTTTGCCGCCATCACAACGTCATGCCACTTATCTCGATCATGAATTATATTTTTCCAATTATTTATGCCTATCCTTCTTAAATCTTCCTCGACCACATCCATCCATCTTTTCCTCGGCCTCCTCGTGGTCTCTTACCAGATAGTACTGCTTTATTATTGTATCGTCACGCATAATGTGCTTAAACCCAGTGGATTCTCTGGCCTCTTATGTAATATTTAATTGGAGTCATTCATGTTTCTTCAATTAGTCCTTTGTTAAATTTTCTCCTCCACATGCCAGTGCTTTTGTCTAATTTAAGTCCACATATCATATAATTATTATATTATTAATATCTCTTGCATCTAAACTATTAAAAGATTGAACTAGTTCACTTTTTTTTCGTAACACTTTTCTAGTTCAGTTGAAAGTTCGTCTATTAAACTGTCCCAATATTTGTTTCAACTTACTTATTATTTATTTTAGCTTACAGCTATATTTATTTTAAATGTTTAAAATCACATGAAACAATGATGAGGTTCGTAACAAATTAAAAATGTTAAAGACACATAGGGTGTGAAGTGTGGATACAATTTTTTTATTATCATTTGATGTTCAAATTTTGTATTTGAAAATGTATAAAATGTTCTATTTATATAGCTAAGGATTGAACATTTAAAAAAAGGTTTCCATTTAGCATTTAGAAGTTCAAACTATAACCAAAAAATCTAAAAATATATGAACACAGTTTTTTTTTTTATAGATATTTTGTAATATGCTCAATATCGTTTTTCATATACAGTGATTATAGTGATATATTGATAGAATGTCATTTAATTCAAATTCAACACATCTATTACAGCGAACCACAAGTTATCTAATGTACACAGTGCCTACCTAAGTGCCTAACTAATCATCTGTATAATATAATAATTTTAAGTACCTGCCAAAAATGAGGCAGAGCATGGATGAGTTAAAGGTTAAAGTTAAATTAAATACTTTAACAAAGTTACTTTTTTTAGATTTAACTTCTAACTTCGAGTTATTTTTTTTCCTAGTTACCTATTCAATATTTTAATTGCAGTTAATTCATTTTATTGTCATATTAAGTTGAATTTTGTCTAAATACAAACCCTGTGAACTTAAAATATTTTTTTTTTATTAAAAAATAGGCTAATTGTGAAATGGTGAAACGGTATCGGTAAGAAGAAATTAATTTTTATTAATTTGATTATTTGAAATTATAATTTATAAATGTAAAATAACTTAAGATATCTGAAATTTGTCAACATCAACGGGAATACCTATGACGCTTTCGTTTCAAAAGAATAAACACTTACAGTTTGGAATAAAAATAAATCTTTGACACGTTGAAACGCTTGACGTAAAATTAAAACACTTAAGTAGAAATAATAAGATTTCGAGCAAAAATGATTTCCATTTCTCTGCCCTTTTGGACACACGTTGGACCTGTAATAGTAAAGCTTTATACTTAAGCGCGTATAAAAAAAAATGACGTTTACAAATAGCATTTTGCCTCTAATCCAGATTAGTGCTCTCCCCCTCCCCTCGTATCAAGGATTGTCTTTTATACACCCTTCAGGCGATTTATCTTCTGCAGGACTCCTATCCGTGTTATTTCTCTTCTTCGTCTTTCAAAACACTCTTTCTCTCTGTCGCTTCTCCAGTCCTCCTCCTCCTCCTCCTTTTAATCTATCCTTGTACACTCGCGTATGGGCGCGTGCAAACAAACAAACACACACACACACACCCACACACACACACACACACACACACACACACACACACACACACACACACACACACCTACTCATTCACAGAGCGGGCATCGTTCTAAAAGGCATGTGACGTTAATGGTCTTGGCCGCAGGTTTTTTTTTGCGTTTCTAATGGATCGATGTCAAAAACGTCGGGACTCGTAAAAACACCCTTTACCGAGTAAATACAAAAATTAAAAAGTGTTAAAATTCGTGCACGCTCGTATTTATTTTACGGCCGATTTGGTTTTATTATATTATATATTACTGCAGTATATTTATATAAAGTATAAACGCACGTGAACACACACTCTCTCTCTCTCGAGCGCGTTACTGTATCCTTTTTTAATGGCAGTCCCGAGGTTTTATTTTAGTGTCGCGCATGACGTATAATAAAATAAAACGCGGTGATAAAAAAGAAAATAATTTATATATATGTCCAGATGTTTTGGTGTAAAAGCTTATAGATATGAATCTCGGATTACTTAAAGTTACCGGAAATAAATTCACAGCCTATATTCTAAATGGGATTGTTATTGTACAACAGTATTTTAGTTCGACGATTATATTAATAAAATAAACACTTTATGTCTTCATCGTGTTACTATTATAGGTTGGGTGTATTTAATGTTTTTTTTTTTATATTTTAAGTAAATGAAATGGTCAACTTCCCACGTGAAAATATACAGACACTGTTACGCATTATATTTTATTGTAAAATCTATACTAAATAATTTAAATGACATACTAAAGTATAACTATTTGTTAAACTGTTTCCAATAACAGTGAGTGGCTCCTAATACCTATCTATGATAAATAAATTAATTGAATGACTTACGAGCTTGTAAAAAATGTTGTACATTACACATCTTTCATAATTATAGCACTGCAAGTCGTCATTTTTATATTGAATTAGGGCCAGACTTGTTCTGCTCTAAAAATCACAAAAA